TGGTGTAACCTATACCTATGCCAGACTTGCAAAATACCCACTCCTCCACGGCGAGTACGTTTGGCGGATTGGTGAGTTAAAAGAAAACAGCCTGGTTAGTGGAGTTGAAAATGGTCTGACGAGTGAAAGAAATCAAAGAACCTTCCACGACCCCTCTTCATGCGAGTTAACGTTTGCTATTCCCTGCGTACGAAGTCAGCATCGCCCTTCGTAATAACATAGACACACATCTTTCTGTGCAGGAACAGCGTTTTTGGCAGCTGGTGGGGGCGGGACGAGGAAAAATGCTCCAGGCTGGTGAAAGTTTAGAATTTTATTTCAGGGCTGGTCTAAGCCAACTTTCTTCAAGCAGCTTTCTGTAGTTTCCGCTGATTTTTGGAACAGCAAACCCAACCAAAATATCGACTTTACCAATGGTTCTGGCCAGAACGATAGAGGCACTTGAATAATGCTTATACAGGGTGACAATTCCCAATGTTACAGATTTTAATGGCTCGCCATGTACACAATTTTCAACGGAGAGCGTTGAGTGACACATTTCCAGAAAGCTTGTCTCATGTAGTTTTGTTTCGTAGCAGATTTGTTAACATGCGGGGTCAATATTCTCTAAAGCAGAGGGTGTGGATAGTGACTAAGTAATTGCAGTTTTCTGAAGTTCAATTATTTGGTAATTGATGGGTGAAGTATCAGAATTATGCAACAAAATTCGATTTTTTGACATTTTCCCAGGAAAATGCCCTTTTGTCCCACTGTGCACCGGACCAAAAACGGTGCGGAAAGATAGAGGTATTGCAATAGAATTAGAAAATAGAGTCCTCCCAGTATGCCAAAGGGCTTTCGAAGTTTTCCTCATTCCTCTTAACCACTCACATTCCTCGGCTTTTTCATCATATCATGAGCTTGAAAGCGCCGCTCAAGGCACCCCCAGAAAACAGTTCCTGGATACGTCCCTGCTACCTTACAATCCGTATGACTCCTGATCAGTCCGTACTCTCTTATGATGAAAAGCATCAAGAGCTTCTGTTCGGATTTCCGGATCCTGAAATCGGATTTCCCTTTATCCGACACTCATTCGTTAAACGAAACCAAATCGATGAGAGAATTTCGTCGTCGCCTTTTGCCTTGGTGCGATTCCTGAATGAGCGAGTTCAAGCCGTAGAATTCCTATAGAAATTCTACGACACGATCCCTTGCTATTCAAGATTCAAGATATTAATAGTTAGTGATATCAAGAGGCGATGTCACCCATTTCGATATCACGTGTCGAGGTCGAGCGTTCCGTAATTTTAGGGTAGGACTAACCCTCTTAAAGCTAAATATTTTTGTATTTTTTGGTTTTTTTTTTTGCGTATCCTAGTTGCTTCCTGTCTAGTACCTTGCGTCAATATTGCCCTCCACCTTTTTGCCTGTCCATGAAAGCATCCAGCTTCTTCTTAAAGATAGTCACAGAAGGGGCAGCCACTACTTCGTCGTCTAATGCATTCCACGCGTTCACCACTCTGCAAGTAAAGAATTCCTGTCTCGACCTGAGCCGCACCAGCGGTTTGCGCAACTTAAGTTGGTTACCTCTCGTTCTCTTGCTGCCATCAAACTGGAAAAACCTACCACACTCGACATTATCTATTCCTTTAATTATCTTGAAAGCCTGGATGAGATCGCCCCTCCTTAGCCTTCGCTCGAGCGAGTACAGTCCCAACACTTTTAAACGCTTCTCGTATGAAAGTCCCCTGACCTCCTTAATCATTCTTGTGGCCCTCCTCTGTACTCCCTCGAGCGCCAACAAATCGCCCTTATTTGTAGGCCTCCAAAACTAGATGCCATATTCCAACTGGGGTCTTATCAGCGCCGCATACAACGGAAGAATAACGCGAGATGTCCTACTTGCAACCGACCGACGAATGTAACCTAGAATTCTGTTGCATTTGGCCACCGTCGCTTGCGCGTGCGAGGAAAACTTGAGGTCCTCCTCGATAGAAACTCCTAAATCTCTCTCACCGTTTGCCTCATCCATATTTAACATCGCCGAACGCATCGAGAGACCTACCGTTGTTTCGACCGACGTGGAGAACTTTACACTTACTTTTATTAAACCTCATGAGCCATTTCTTGCTCCACTCGTCCAAAAGACTTAGATCTCGCTCGGCTCTAGCCCTATCCGCCTCCCCCCTTATGGCAAAACCTATCTTGGTGTCGTCGGCTTTACTTATCTTACCCTCTACGCCGAGATCCAAATCGTTTATGTAGACCAAAAACAGAAGCGGTCCAAGGACCGAGCCATGAGGGACACCGCTTGCGACTCCGACCTCCTTCGACGCTTCCCCATTTATCATCACCCGTTGCTCTCGTCCTGCCAACCAGCTACTGATCCACTCACTCGTCCTACCCTGGATCCCGTGCGCCTCCAGTTTAACCCGCAACCTCTTGTGAGGAACGGTATCGAAAGCTTTCGCGAAATCTAAATAGACGATGTCCACGGGATTCCCTTTATCCCTCTCTTCCGTCGCCCAGTCGTAGAATTCGAGCAAATTGGTGAGACAATTTCGACGCCTCCTAAAGCCGTGTTGAGAGTCCCGAATGAGCGCGTTTCCTTCGAGGAAATCCAAGAGATGGTCCCTTAGTATGCTCTCCATGATCTTCCCTGGGATACTCGTGAGACTTACCGGCCTGTAATTTCCTGGATTACTCTTTTCGCCCTTCTTAAAGATCGGTACGACGTTTGCGCGTCTCCAGTCCTTAGGTACTTCCCCGCGCGAGAAGCTGCTATCGAATATAATTCTTAGCGGAACCGATATTTCTCTCGCGGTTTCCTTAATGACTCTCGCAGGAATCCCATCGGGGCCGGTCGCCTTGCCCACCTTCAGCTTCCCTATCATATTCTCGATCATCTCCTCGGTGATGGAAATATCCTCGATGCGAGCGGAGGTCACCTCCTCCAAAGTCGGTGCCGAGTCGGATTCGACAGTGAAAACGGACGCGAAGAACTCGTTAAGTATACTGGCCATATCCTTATCGCTTGCAATCAACTCCCTCTTTTCATTCATTAGCGGCCCGATCGACTGTTGACACCTACCACTAGCATACTGATAAAAAGCCTTAGGGTTCTTCTTAGCATCGCTAGCCAGCCGTTCCTCGACCTCCCGTCTCGCAGATCTAATTTCCCGCTTCAACTTCCGCGTGATCCTCCTATATTCCTCATAGTCCGTGCTATCTCCCGTCCGCTTGTACGCATCCCATTTCCGCTTTTTATCCCTGATGAGAGCTTTGATTTTACCCGTAAACCAGACCGGTTGCCTGCCCGATTTCATGGATTTCTTGGGGATGCATTCCTCCATAAAGCCCTGCAATAACGTCTTGAACGCCCCCCACTGCTCCTCTACCGTCTGCCCACGGAGCCGCGACTCCCAGTCGATGCCTGAGACGCATTCACGTAGTCTCTCGAAATTAGCCTTCTTATAGTTGTACGAAACCTTCTTCGGTTTGGCCTTACTCTTCGTCCGCTTGATATTCCACGTGATCGCGCAGTGGTCCGAATCTCCCAAGTTATCCTGTACCTTAACGTCTAGTGCCAGATCGTCGTTCGTCGCAAAAACTAAATCCAATAAAGCTTCCTCGCTGTTTTCCATGACCTTACTGTACGATGCTACCAGGCACAAGAGGCTATAGGCTCACGAATGCGCTTTCGATCTTAAATTATTGCTATCCCTGCACCCTCTAAGATCCTAGTAACCTCTGACATTGGGGACTTTTTTGGTTACGTCCTGAGATACTCGACAGGGTTCGGATTTCACCACAGGGTTTCCTTAGCGTCCCACATCAAGAGTGCTCGGATCTCCCCAAGCACGTCGGGGCCTGCACCTGGAAATAAACGCCTCACTTGGTTGGCATAGAACGAAGGAAAGGAAGTCACCAGCAGAGTCACTCATTCCCTAATCCCCCTTTTCAAAAATCGACAAGACTTTAATTAATTTCCAATCCATAGCCACTTCCCCACGCAAAATGCTGTTCTTGAATACGATTCTCAAAGGTACCCATACTTTCAGACTGAATCCCTCTATGATACTGTCAGGAGTCAGGAGAGTTAGTGATATCAAGAGGCGATTTCGCCCATTTCACAAGCAACTTAAGTCGGTTACCTCTCGTTCTCTCGCTGGCATCAAACTGGAAAAACCAACCATACTCGACATAATCTATTCCTTTAATTATCTCAAAAGCCTGGATCAGATCGCCCCTCCTTAACCTTCGCTCGAACGAGTACAGTCCCAAAACATCAAAACGCTTCTCGTATGATAGTCCCCTGACCTCCTTAATCATTCTAGTGGCCCTCCTCTGTACTCTGTACTCTGTACTGTCTGCAATCCTTCTGTTGCCTTTCCCGCCTTTGGCTTCGATAATGTTCGATTCATGACTCTTCCCAAAGATGTCCTCGATGCATGCCGAGGTGACCTTGATAATGTTAGAATGCCACCGGATTCGCTTGCGAAAACGGAAGTAATCATTCAGTATCCCCGTAATACCTATGTTCAGTTTCTCCATTCCTCGTCCTTGTAGCCACATCAACAATACAGTTAATTTTCAATAATAAAAAAGGAATGGACGTTTTGGAATAATCAAAGGTTATAAACTCATGTTATACACAAGTACACCGGAATCCTGATATGCTCCAACCATACATACATTAGGCTCTGATAAGGTGGCTGCCACATGAGGAACTGTGAATAGATGTAGAAAAGTAAAGATGATTAAATGACGCCCTATTTCTAAAAAGGGAAATTTTAGTTTCAAAGCAGCATTAACTTTCCAGTTTGAAATGAGTTGAGCAGATGCCTGGTGTGACTTGTTGACATCTTAGCCAAAGCCATTTTTAACAAAAATATAAACAATTTTTTATTCAAGAAAATCTTGAATAATACATTTCTATCCATCTGAGAAAAAATAACAGATGAGAATTTCATAGAGAATGCATGAGTCCATGCTCCAAGGATAAATTTACAGGACATAGACATGTCATGAAGACAGAATGCATAAAATAAGGCAAAGATGGAAGAGAGGACTAAATAGACAGCATTCATAGGTGAATGGTTCTGAATTAGAATAAACATATAGAGGCAACACTAGCCTATATAATCCCCATCTTCTTCTGATGAAAAGAAGAAAAATGATGATCACAGTTTCTCACATGATGATTGGTTCTCCTCCATTCCTCCCTCAACTTCATGGCCTGCTCAACACCAGCCATTGAAAATAATATTGCATTTGTGATCCTTTTCCTTAAAGAAAACTTAAGTAGAAAATGAATGAATGAAAGCTGCTGACTCACATCTATGCCATTGATGAGAGTATAGAGAGGGATAAAGTTGATCAGGTGGAAGATCTTGCTTATAGAATTCGAACAACTCTCGGCAGAGATCACCTACACATCAATAAAAATTTAGGACAGGACAAGTATTGATAATTATTTAGGTATTGGCGACTCCCATACCAACAGTGACGTCATGCTTCACAAGAAATGAATGCATGAGAAAGAGGTCATCCCTAAGTTGGGAGTCATGGAAGGTGAAATAGGCAAGATCACGAGATGCCTCAGTTGCAGCCATCAGCTGAATCAAGAACTTCAACTTGGGATCACCTCCAAAGGCACCACAACCCCAGTTTCCTGTTGCCACAGCAACAGCCTCCTTCTTGTGGTTTCCATTGAAGAAGCCAGCATATGCCTTGTTCAACTCTCGACAGATGAGTGAGGGCTTGAACTGAGTGTGAAGGTGGGTGAAGTGAAGGGCATCCATGGCAATGACCTGTGTCATGCGTCTGCCACAGTCATCATGTTGGGTCTCGTCTAAGCAGCGTCCCACCCATTGAAATTCGCTTGCATAACCACTTGCATAGTTCCATTGTTCCACCCCTAGCAAGACAGGGACAGGGATGTTTAGATATGATCAGCTGGAAGAAAAGAAGTTCCAATACATATACCAATACAGAAGGGGGAGGTGAGAATTTTCCAAGAGACCTGTGCAGACAAGGACCTCATTGTCATCCAGTTGCTCTGTAAAGAGACGAGAGAGAATGAGCTCTGGAGAGAGGAGGAAGCGGATCTCCTCCTGCACCAATCCTCCTCCTAACACTCCTCCACCAACATATCTAAGTAGCCAATGGGGAATGCACACTTTCAAGGAAAGGAAATGTTTGGAAAGCTCTGCACATCACCAGCATTTTTGTCTAGTGCATTTGAAAGTATCTGATGCACTTGGCTGATGCACAGGCTTCTAAGCTCTCTAATGAACTAATTCCAATTTTGACTTACCCCTGCTAGCCTGCAACAGAGCAATTAGCAGTGATCGAGAGGAAAGATTTTGACATGAATACAACAGATGGCATTGTAAAAATTATTACCATCAATAATGGAATGCATATTGGAATGTAAAAGAGGAACAATAGAATGAGAAATGGAATACGAGTGAAGAATAATGTGTATTAACAATATCCCAGTTTCCTGTCATATAGCTTGACTATAATTTAAAATATAAAGCCTACGGACAGGCATTTTTTCTAGTCTGTAACTGTCTCCTACTACCAGATTATAATGAATCATCACTGATTCAACTGCAACATGTGAAACTGTGGGGCTGAGTAGCACAAAATGATGATTTCCCAAAGTTTGCATGATGACAAGAAGGTATTTTTTGCTCATGCAGATGATTTTGGTATGCAGACATTCACAGTGGTTTAATGAAAATGAGGAGCTGTTTATTAGAAGGTTTCATCTAAGTTTTATTAGCCAGTTTTTTTGTTGTCAATGTATTTTGGGTGAAAGGTCAATGCCTCATAAGCAGAGTGCAACCTTTGAAACTTTTGCAGATATGAGGCTTTGAATGATGCTAACTTTCTGTAAGTTATGCCCAGCCTCAAAATGAAGAAAAATTTATTCTGCTTATTTTTGACAATGAAAAATCCTGAAAAAAAAACTCAACTACCAATTTGCAAATGCCTTCTACACAAAAAGTGAAAAGCAGATTCAGAATCTGTAAAATAAGCAACTTTATGCTTTGGGTGACTTGGGATGGAATGACCAAGGAGTTTATTTTTTTAAATTCATGTCTCTGACCCAAAGCAAGAAACCAAGTTTAAGTTGGCAGCATCTGAATGAAAATGGAAAAGAGAACCAGTGGCTTTTTTAAATGTGAAAATCAAAGCAGGTAGACTGGCAATAAATTACTGGTATTTTTGCAATTTTCAAAGTGCAAATCCTCCAATGTACCATAGAAAACCAGTCAAAATTATGCTTTCCAGTAAGGGGTGAGAAGCATACTGCCAGTGACAGGAATTACAATTTCTGCGAGCAGAAAGTCATAATGGCAGATAGAAAAGTGCCATTTTTTGCCAAAAATTGGCCATTTTCATTGAGTCTATTTTCATTATTGGCATCAATGCATTTTGGGCATTAGGCAATGTTCAGGATTTCCTCAGTCTCCATTTTGAAATGAGACCAAAATCGAAATGTTACATTTGTAACTTTTTCAGGCATGAATCTTCCAAGGAACCCTACTTTTGATTAAATAAACCCCATCCTCAAAATTAAAGCTATTCTCCCACCTATGTCATAAAAATTTGAGGGGAAAAAGATGAAACAATTTTTATTACAGATACCTATCATTTATAAAATCATGAGCTGAATTGAAGATGGTGACTTTTTCCTTGTTGGATGAATTGGGATGGAATGATCTTTCATTCATTGGGGTCATCTCCATCATTTCTTATACCTCTTTTCAGTTACTTTTGTTTCAGGCACAAGTTATGAGGTAGAAATGCACATGTGCCTGATCTTTCTCTAATGCTGTCATTGCAATTGATCCTAGATGATCCTAGGAGACATGAATTTTCTGTCCTTTTTATGCCTCTTCTCTATATTCTACTAACACTCCACAAAAATTATTTTCAGCAAGAATGCTAAGGGAATATAGTCCTTCATTAGTAAGTACAAATTTCTGAGCATTACAGTCACTAATACCTAAGAAATAAATGTTTAATTTTGTCTTGTTACTAACAGGACACCCTGTATTATTATAGTAAGGCCATACTTGTTGGCAAAGTCGATCTGGATGAGACCATGACCCTGGACTTCAATCAGGCCCTCTGAGTCAATGTGGATGCGTGATCTGAGATAAGTCTTGCTTTCCAACCAAATAGGGAAACATTTTGAAGGCACTCTACGTCTCATGTACGTCACCACTCCTTCTGGCACTAAAGTAAACATTAACGAAATTACCCTGAAGTAAATACACAATACAGAAAGAAAAAAGTAGAAACATGATACCCACTGGAAGAAGTGACACGCTGGAAGTAGGACATAATACATTTCAATTTTTCTACTTTCCTCTGCCTCTCTGAACCTCTTCCACCAAATAAACTGAAAAAGATGAGATCTCAATACTCTAAGACCATTGTATCAAGAACATACAGACTACATGATGAGGCATTTCCAAGTTGTTTTGAGACATACCGATTGAAGTTGATATCTGGATAAGAGCTGTATTCAGAGTCTCGGCGAAGAGCATTCCGCCTTGGGTATGTGCAGAGGAATGCATTGGCAAGGAGACATGCCACCTGCACCTGTGATAGTGACAATGCATGATTCTCACCCTGCTTTAATAACAATGGGGCTCTAGTCACAATGTTCTCCAGGTCCAGTGCCAGGTCTATCAACTTTGGCAGGATCTCCTGATATTGAAAAATAAACAACATTATCATAAGCATTGTCATCATTATGACTGCTTTGTGAAACAACAATAACTACAGTTAACCAATCACATTACCCATGAGAAAAAGCAACTGAAATTCACATGAGGATCAAGACTTATGAATAATTCAGTTTTGATGAATCCTCACAAGTCCTCAGTCCTTCAAAGTGCTGAGAGTGTAATAGATCAATTAAGGATTAAAGATGTAATGAGATAGAGGAGACATAGATGGTATAATCCACTTGCTCTATGATCTAATATACTTTCCTCCAGAGGAAGGGTGAGATAACAGGACAAGACAGTGTACCAAAGTAACACAAGTTGGTTGGGCACAAATTATAATGCAGTAAGAGCATAATGTAAAGGAAGGAAAGCAGCTATATATGGATACATCTTCAGATATGCTCAAAGGACAACTGTAGGCAAAAAAAAAAAAAATTATAATTGGACTATGTAAAAAAAAGCAGCAAATGAAAGCTCAAACATATCAGTTTATGAATTCCTGAAAAATACAAAAGTAAAGTTTTTCCAAAAGTACAGTCAACTCTCAGTACAGCAAACATGGATGTAATGGAAAACCATCTATATTGAAATCATTGATGTTGTCCAGTCAAATGTCTGTAGAAGGACCCATGCAGATAATTTGGATGTAAAAAAATTGGGTAAACTGAAATTTTAGGCACAACAAAATAATTTCTGTGTCTCCAGAGAGAAAGGACATAATGAATATTTCCACTGTCATGAGGGAAAGAAAATTTTCCTTTTGACAGAAATACTAAAAGATCAGCTCTCATCCCCATTCAGCCATTCACCTGGTATGCCTCAGGTGTCAAGCCCAGAAAATTTTGTAACATTTGTATGGAGATGCCTGAAACTTCATGCACATGCATCACATTTTCAATAATGAAAAACAAACATATGATTAAGTCCTGTTAAGTTTTCATAATGATCCATTCCCAAGAACGGACTTTTTAAGCAAAAATCAATTGTGAGAACAAGAAAGTCTCAGGAACTCAAAATTGCATCTCTGTTCACTCAGAATGTTGACCATTTTGACAAAAACCTGCTATAATTCAAGCATGAGTTATTGTAGGTGCACTAACTTTTACAAATTCTTGAAGAACATATTAGGCTATGTAGGATTACATTTAAATCAATCAATTGAAAAATATGGATTTTAGAGCAAAAATTAAAGGCACTTACTATTTTTGGTCAACCCTGTATATTAGTAAGGAGATGTCATCCCATATTATAAGGGCTCAGAGCTGTCAGCTTGAATCCCCACTCAACATTGTGATAATGATTCTGTGAGCTCTGATGCTGCCAAAAATTGACTGATACTGAAAGGGGTACATCACAGCCTTTTCTGAAGAAATACTCATATTTTATGATCAGAAAGATGTTTCTAGCCAGAGATACACCAACAGTAAACCCAAGGCCCATTCATACCTGCTACAAGTTGCAATTCAGAGCTAGCCAACAAAGTCAATCAGATAATTGATGAAAACCCAAAACCTGAGAACAAAAATAACTATCTCAAAAGCTGTAGGAATGTCTCTAATCACAGTGCAGAAGAGCATCCAAAAAAATCTTCACCTAGAGGCATGATACAAGTTAAGCGTTCACAAGTTGCTCCCAAAACATGTTCAAGAGAGAAAGATTAACTCCAGAAAGCTTTATGAGCATTACCTGGTGTATGACAGAAGGTAATTCATTATGATACTGGATGAGGTTCAGGTCTACCTTGAGAACTACAAGAAGTGTCATATCAGTTATCATGGATAGGAGTGGTGAGAAGGGGCTCTTTAACCCTTTGAGGAGTGAGTTTTCTTCATGCTCCAGGGAGGTTAAAAAAAAAAAATTTTCTTTAGATTTCCCTTAACAAGATAAATTTTGAAAGTTTATTATCATAGTATGGTAGATAATAGTTGATTGTAGTGCATGAAAGGCAAAAAATGCAGTGAGCTCAAAAAAAAAGGAATTTGTACTAACTGTACATGATGTACACTGGTTGCTTGCAGTGAATGCTCACAGGGGGAAATGTATCACAAGAGGTAAATCCTGGTAAAAACCTGAGGTAATCGCATTATAGTAGAGAAATTAAGCAAAAACAAAAAAAAAGCCATGGAAATTGTCCAATGCCTGGTGTGTTCAAGGAGTTAAAGAGTGCCTTGAAGCTATGTAATATACAAGCTGTCTCAATAAATAAAAAAGTTAAAACCTCAAGATGTGATTTTTTTTGTAGTGCTCTAAATTGAGTAAAAAGATGAAATATTATGTTCCCTTTTGCTAAAAATAGGATGAAATCAGTCAATTTTGAAGTGAGATATGGGAGTATGAAAATTTCACAAAGAAATTTACTCACTATCACATGCCACTGAAGGATGTACTGAAGGTGCAATGCTCCATGATCCTAGCACACCTTCAGGTACTTTGCATGGTTCTCAATGGCCAAGTTCTTTCTGTGCTGGTTTTTCAGATGCCAATGCAAGTTTTCTGATGAGAGCATAACCAACAACTGTGCAGGTTCTAATTGCAAGTCTTGGCAAAAAACTTATGGATCACAAGCATTCTTATTGCATGCATTGCCAGATCTTTGACTAGGCAAGTAAATGGTCAAAACCAGTGTCACTAGATTTTGTTTGCATCAATTTTTATTTTGAATGTCTCACTTCAGAATTAATCGATTTTCCTTCCTTCAAACCTTCACCTTTCTCCTTTCAACCTACCAATATAATTTTTTTTTTCCTGCTAAAATCAAGAATCCTTAAGATATTAGCTTTTTCTGGAGACACCCAATAGTCCCTTTGGAATGACAAATAAGTGGGCACCAATAACAAAGAAGCAAGAAAAACCTTGAAGAATGCTAATGATTCATCCTCTTCCAGTATATCATTGAAGAAATGATGAAGCGTGGAGAAATCCCACTTGTTGGCATAGATGGAGTTGTATTCCATTATAGCAGTCTCCAGGTCATGGGAATCCTGAATTTCTCTTCCACTTGGTTTCAAAGCTCTTCTTATCAACTCCCACCGTCCCACCACTTCACGCTCCCCCCCACTCTATCATAGTGGAAAAATTGATTTTTATCTTCAGAGAAGAGATAAAAGTTAAAGACTTACTGATGAGAGAAGAATGGCTCAAGAAATGGAGCAACCTTTTGTACAGGATAGAGATTCTTTGGTGAGCAAGGAAGTCGAACGTGGACTGCATCCCAGAGATCTTCATATTTCTTTGGATGAGGTAGTGGTATGCCTTCTCCTGTCTTCCATGGAACCTGCAAGCCAAGGTAACATCAGACTTCTTCCATGCACATGGATGTGTAAAAACTCTTCTCCTGAGTTTCTAGACTGGACACATTCAGTTTCAATATAAGCAATGACTCAAGTCAAAGCACAAAGCATTAAATGCATCAGGGATGATACAGAAACCTGACCAGAGTTATGGGCTATGACCCAATCTCAGAGATAGAGTCATTCCCATCAAGTCATCTCTGCCATCAGGGCATCTATGATGGAAGGCATCCAGCAGCAAGTGCACACACCCAAAATCAGGGAAAATGTGAATGAAGTTATGAACAACATAAGAGAAGATCATGACGGCTGTCACTTTCCTTGGTTTAGCATCTATGAATTGGGAATTTTCTTTCTCAATTATGCTTTAAGAAAATGCCACTTTGATATTGAACAGGTTTTATTATCAGATGAGGTGGCCGTTATCTATGAGTTGCACTATGATGTATTGAGCAAGTGGGTATGCTGAATCACCCAAAAGATGATAGTAGGGGTAAAGCTTCAGTGTTCCATATGCAACAGCCCTCTGAATTAGGCTATGTCTCCAAACTCTTGAATCATAAATATTCCAGAATGGTAACTTTAACCTGAAGATCTTTTTATGTCACTTTGTCATTTTCCACTTTCATCTTCCTGACAGTGGTACTACTCAGAAGAGCATTTAAATTCCACATAAAAACCTGTCCCCTGCCATACTGGAAAAATGACTCAATGTGTTCAGAAGATTGCGTGAAATGTGGGCCCTGAGTTGCGACTGAATGTGGCCTCTGTGGTACAATTGATCCTGAAATACAGTACCTAGAAAGGTACCTAGAGGATTTGCCAAGTTTGGTAGTGTTCTGTTGAGAATTTTCAAAAGATTTGCCCATGCAATATTTGAGTTTGATGATGATCATAGCTTGATGTACCAGGGGAGTATAGCTATTAAATTATAAGTTTTGGTTCAATTTTGTGAATAAAGTGCCTTTCAAATGGGAAGTTGAGAGGATTCCAAATATGCAATCAGTTACAAAATTAGAAATCATTTAACTAATTTTTTAAATATCCATGTGACCTCTGACCTTGTGGATATATAATGTCAGACAGATGCTAATTTCACAGTTTAAATGCTTGCATCTTGCCAAGAATAGAGAAAATGTCATCATTGCAATATCTTTTGTTTCCCTGTGAAGACGCTTAGAGTGAAGTAAATTACCACATGCCACTAGAAAGTGTACCAGGAGGAGGCAATATTGAAGCATGGTTGCTTCCTGGTAGAGACAGGCTGTGGTAATTTAAGATATAGCTATCTCTGCTTCATTTTGATGCTTTCAGTTTATATGAATCATGAAAGAATGTGGCTTTTCTTTTAAAACTTGGTGACAAGGAGAGAGGCATTCAGGTATGAGAAGAGAAAGAGAAAAGACTCCTGTTTCTTAGACTGGAGTTTTTGCAAACTAACAGATGAAAATCTGCTTGCATCATGAGTACCAATTCAGAGTTAAGTTCATTTCAATGACCTTTGACCTTGAGCACCACCTAGTGGATATAAAGTTTGGGAGTTGCACTTTAAGTTTTAACACTTAAATTGTATAGGGAGGTAAAAAAAAAAAGCTCTTCCATTTTCTATGGGTGAAACACAGTTTCATAAATGCAGGAAAAAAAATTACATTGGATACACATTCAATATTCAACAGTTACAAACATGACTCATGTAGAGGCCAGACACTTGGGGGACATCCTTCAGTTCTAATTTATTGAGCAGGGTTTGGGTGATGGGTGGGGCACATGCTACTCTTGACATCTGGGCTGATGGGGTCTTTAGAAAATCTTTTTCAGGTATGAGACAAGCAACTTTGGATAAATTTCTTGAATCATAATTTTTGTTTTTTACAAGAGTAAAGGGCATTCATGTCTAGGTTTCTTACTATTTTTTGCTAAGAGGTAAGTTTGCATTATTGGAGCAGCCACTTTATTGGAGATAAAGCCAAATAGGCATACCATGCTAAGAACCAGAGAGACCAACCTGAAAATGAATAGTATGATTCCGGCTGGGAATCAAAGCAGGGGCATGAAGGGATAAAGGAGGGGCAGCAGGAAGTTCAACCAAGGGAATTCCTGACCATGTCTTTTCTGTATTTGAATCTTTCTTCACTGGACCATCAACCTCCTCTGGTAAGGACACAGGATTTCCCCCATTCAACACTCCCTCTGCTGTAATCCATCCAAAGTGACAACTTAACACTACTTTTCAACTTCTTATGCATCTAGAAAACACTGTCAATTCACCTGAATTTGAGGTACTCGGTTGTAAATACTGACTCAGTTGAGTCTGCTTCCATTTTTGGGACTTCTGAGGTTCTGGCTGATTCATCCCTGATTTATACTGATGTCTTGACTGACCACATCTACAAAAGCTCACAAGACCTTATGGTCTCATGGCCTTACATTTTCCTTCACAATGCAAAAGGAAAGCATTCCCAGGTTTGTGTACCAAATGCTAAGGCTCAAATGTACAAACCTCACTTAGGGAAAATGAAGGGATCTTTAAGTTAAAGAGCTCCTTTTCTCCCATAGGGGTCCATGTATTCTTAAAGGACCATTAACTAAAGAGGGGTTTCAGCATTCGAGCCTATGTTTCCTAAACCCCATATTAATTACACTTATTTTAAAAAAATACACCTTACATAGGATGCTCACATTCTAGTTTGAAAAATCTTAACTCTAAAATTCCATATTAAATTCACCCAACAGGCCTAAAACTCTCATCCTGTGGCCATGTATGCAATTAACTCTACATCTTGGCACTCAGTATTTCTCTGGCTTCCCTCATTCTCTGCCTCCAAGGTCAAGACAGGCCATATGGCCAAATAGTCATAAAAAGAAAGTATGCCTTTTTGATAGGCATACAAGTGTTGAAGCTACCATAATTGACCTTTGAAATATTGTTGAATGGCTGTTTCTGGAATAGATGTCAGCTCCCCTAGAGTTAGGAGTGAAGGCGGGCCAGTCCAAGGTGTTGGACATGAAACCTGGAGTAATGTGCTTGAAATACAGTATGTATTCAACTATATTATAAATTTCAAATCAACAAATAAGGGTTGCAATAATTAGCCTTTGGCAGTGACTGATAATTCCATAAAGCAAAGTCTCACTGTCTCTCTTTTGTTAGAGGTGTATCAGTGCGTGAAGAAAAGTCCCAGACATGACATTTCATGAAACCTCAGGAAAAAAGTCACTTGCTCTAATGGTCACATCTCTGTCATGAAGCAGAACCTATCAATTTAGTATTATGTTAATTCTAGATATTAAATTAAAGCCTGAAATTAGCATCAATCCTTCCAAGATTACAAAACTTAAAAGAGAAAAAAAGGCTATTTTGTGACTGTCAGATGAGACACATACTGAAAGTTTATCTAAAAGCAGATTTATGTCTTTAGGTATCTTTTAATGTTATTTTTAAAATAACATTCAAATCTGAACAACTGACATCTCTTCACACCTGAGCTGAATAGAAGTTATCAATATGCACGACAGAACCCATGTAGGCATCTATTCCAGTAGTCAAATTAAGTCTCTCCAGATTTTCATTTCTATTGTATCCTTAAATATCACGAAAATGGTAGGATCTAATCTAATAAAATAAATCTAATAAAAATGACCAATTCTTTCATTTTATAGATAATGTTCTCATTCATAAATGACTTCAGGGAAAAGAGATTAACTTCTTTAACTAGTAGAGAAAGCAATATTTGCAAATTTAGAGAAATTTCCTGCTATGAACCTTTGGACCACTTGGCATGAACAGACCCAGGCAATCAAAACCTGGCATCTTCTGAAGAAACAAGGCGAATTGATAATCACAGACCAATGCTTGAATTCACCTTTTTTATGCCAAAATTACATGAAGTTCATGGAGTTTATGTTGGCCCTTATTTATAGGGATGTAACGATATTATACCAGTATCAGTATTGGTTATCGGACCAATATTTACTAATCAGATAAAAATGAGTAAATATCGACATTCCGATATTTTGCTTCGTCGATATTCGATATCTGAGCGCATGAAGAATGTTCGCTTCATTCAATATAAATACAGCGAACCTGCTGACACCATCATCCAGTGATGTTTCTGCCGGTATTTTTGTTTATTTAGTCACAGGCCTACCACAAAAACATTGAGCATCGTGAACGCTTCCCTGAATCCAGTTGTCATAAATCAATGCTCTACACCATTCTCGCTGAAGAGCGTCTAATGGCATTTGACCCCTCTTTGGAAGGAGAGAGACTGTAAATTTGAAGGAAATTTTGAGTCAATCTGAAGCAATTTGAATTTTGAAGCAAGCACCATGACAGCCATTATACCAGTGGGATTCTGTTCCGCTTAAATGAACTGCAAAAAGCCTCTGAAGCTAGATGTATTTGTTCGTCTTGTGAACATCACGAACATCCCTTCTACTCACGGCCTTCGCCTTTCCAGCATCAAGGTTTTCGGATTGCCAGGATAAACACAATGCATCTACCACTCTCTTCCTTCAATCCTGTGATTCTTCCGATCATGATTGACTAGAAGAACGAAAGTGTGCTATCTTGAGCAATTGACGTGGAGCTTGCATGTACATACCGCGAGTGACTGGAAAAGGCCAACATTGTTTCCATCCCTGGAAATAAGCATTTTTAAATGCCTGAGGAACCTTGAATGCTTTCGGGACCAGGATTTTTTTAATTCACTGTAAACCTGCGTGGTGATCTAAGCAAATCTAGAAACAGGAAGGAATATATTTTCCGCGAGTTGTGCATTTGGGATGGAGCCAATAGCAATGAAAAAAGGAGAAAAAATTAATTCAAAAGTTTACTTGGCAGGAAAAAAAACCTTGGGGACGAAAATGCCGCCTAACTGCCGATTCACGCACAAAACGTACATCAATGCAAACATTGGGGGCTTCAAGACAAATCAGTACCTAAGAGTATGAAAGCTTGGGGTGGCCGCCGTTAGACACGCAGGATGTCTCATATCCATGTTCCGTCTCACCCTTTTACGTCATGACCAGCTGGATATGATCTTATCGGTTGACCAGACGCCGAACACGTCGCCTCCAAGGGTTGCGTCTGGGGTTGGGGGATTAAACAGAAGCTGTTGATCATTAAAAGCTGAACGGCGTTTCGAAACGTCGGTTCTCACTCAATTGGACGAACATGCACAATTGCAGAATGAGTAACGAGATTTGACAGAAAAGAGTGGGAGGGTGACGGGTACAAAGTTGAGGCGTGAAAGCAACAATCGTGTGCGTCTTCCGGTTGTGTTCAAAGAACGAATTAGAACCAATGCACTCCTTTCAGTTGTTGGGCTAACATTAGACCTATGTCTTGGCCTACATTACCTCTCATTTAAAAAAAAGTACTAGAAAAGCACACTAAGATGATGTACGGTGCCAAAGGATGAATCTCAGCCAGTCATAAAATGCCTGGCTAAGGTGATGCTCGCAAACGGAACGGTGAGCAGAAATCGTGGTAATTGACATCGGGCCTTGGTCAAGATACTAACCTAATTGGTTTACAAAAACCTAAAGAGGCATGAAAAAGTTTTTTTTTATCAGTATGCTTAGCAATACATCGGCTCGGGGAGGGAAAAAATGCAACTGTCAAAGATTGCTTAGACCTTTGCCATGACCTGACTGAGGACAGGCCTATGTCCAATCTTAGACAAAATAACGTGGAAGGAACCACACGAAGTGACGTTTTTCAAGAGATTCATGTATTATTTTTATCTACCTTTATTCTTAGTAACTTTTAATTGTTGAACTGCTGTATTTTACCCTGGATATCAGAAATATTCATAAGCGTCTACTAGAATTACTTCTCCAAAAGCCCAGTAAATGAACTCATAGCAACATGTAATCTACAGTTTGTAGTCTGAATGTAAAGTGAGGAAGAACTAATCTAAATAAGTGTGACCCAAAGAACTTAGCATCCCATTTGAAAAATCATTATAGAGAAGAGTTTGAAAAAATTGAAGGTCATGCTAAGAGGAAGAGACAACTTGGTTTCAGTGCACAGGCACTTCTAAAGCCTGACTTCCAACAGGAAGCAAAAGAAGGCGGCAACTTGGGGCGTATTTCTTTGCCGTCTTCAGCAGCTCTCCAGAAGACAGGACGCATGCGCATTAGTATCAGGAGAGTCGCTAGAAGAGAAATACGCATGCGTACTCTCTTCTAAATAGCTGCTGCAGAAAGCAAAGAAATACGCCCTTGAAGAGCAAGGTCTAGATCAGGGGTGTCAAACAAACAGCTCACGGGCTGGATCCGGCCTGCCGTTTGTTCTTGAAGTTTCCGCTTGGATTGACTGTCGGCGCAAATTTCGATGAAAAATTATGGATGTGGCCCACAGACATCTGCGACTTAAGGAATGTGGCCCGCCGACCGATTTGAGTTTGACACCCCTGGTCTAGATGATCCAGGAATACTTCCTGTTTCATCACAATCCACCCTAGTGCTTATCGAATGAATTCACCCCCCCCCCCCCTTACTATGGGCTCCTACGACTCGCCATGCTATTCTACGACGCCTGCAGATACTGTAACTGCTAATAACAACTAATCAAGGTAGATGTCGCCCACGTCGCTATGTCCTGCATTCTAAGCGGTTGGGGAAAGTGTATTCATCCGTTCTGAGTTTCCCATTTAAATCTCGCTTAGTCTTCCAACGAAATAAATCGTATTAATTTATGAAAGACTCTTATAGGGAGATGATGACATACCCCTAACTTCTTTCTCTCATTCATTTCGATCGCATCAATGATACCCATTGGTTAACAAAGTATTTCACAATTATTATTGAGACTCAGAGGGGGGAAAATACAATTATGCTCTGAGTACTGTATCCAATAAAAAACATTTTCACCTTTTCTCATCTACATTCTATTCTCAAATTTCTTGCATTTCTACATTCTATTAATTTTATTAACATAGGCATCGCCTGGATTCTAGTCCATTTCTTCATATTTGTTAAAAGTACATCGAACGTAGACCGCCTGCCATTTGAGGTTTTCCTAGAAGGGAAAGGGAAAGGAAAGCTTCCGTGAAAACCAAGGCTAGGGAGAAGGATTCAGAAAGTTAGCAATTAAAATTATGGATTTCTTGAATATTGAGAAATGTGAAAAATTTTTCATGTGTCTCTTCATGGATGACAAAATTATAAGGTCAAAATAAAAATGCTTCAGAGTTATACATATGACTAATTTCGTGATTACGTCGATGACAAGGTGACGATATCGTTTTTACTTAGGTGCTCTGACATTCCTCAAGGTTCACTTCACTTGAACTTTTTTTTTTTAAAGGAATGTTGGTTCCTGCTCGTTCTGATCAGCTGTATTATGTCAAGTTTGCGAAGCTCCTTCAAGGTATCATACTGGTCTATGATGGTTGGGTAACTGGCTGGGATCGCATATGTGGATAGTTGAAATCGCCCCTTGATATCACTATCTTGAATCTAGTTTAGCTGTTTATGCGATGAAAAATAGATGTCACTCTCTTCTCACAGCCAGCAGCGCCACCGCCCACTGCAAGGGGGGGGGGGGGTGAATTCATTCGATAAGCACTGTACATCAGTGAGACAGTTATGCCTCAGCTGTATGACCAGGGCCGGACTTATGCACGTGCCACATGTGCCTCCGCACAGGGCGCAAATTCACCAGAGGCGCCAAAACGTGTCAGAATGAATGAAGCTATAATGGATGCCACCCTTAATTTTACTAGAGACTGGAAATGCCTTCCGTTTCGGCGTCTTTTTGGACAGTAGGGATTGACCGTTCTCCCTTTGGGGGGAAGCACTCTGCTGAGAACAACATGCCGAGAGTCGAAATTACCTGGAGGGATTGGGGAATTCTACATTCACAAGTTGCACGAGTGAGTGAGAGTGAGTGAGTGAGTGAGTGAGTGTGTGAGTGAGAGAGTTTCAGTAATGCTAGGATGGTATACAGTACACTAACCAGCAAAAGCATCTCTATGCTCCTCTTTATACAAAGCAGCTTGTAATTCTTCAACTTTGAGCACCAAGTGACACTACACCCTCCAGTGTTATAGAATTGTTTGCAGGAAGCAATAAACCAGAAGGGAAAAAAATTGTTTTCTTGACCTTGTTTTTCTTGCATTCTTGTTTGAAAGCTACATTCATAAATTTCCCAATAATATTGGATACTGAATATTGGAAGGCTAAATATAGTATTATTGGAATATCAGAAAATTCTAGTATCATTACATAATTAGGAATATTTTGAAATGAAGGCCTAGATCTTGAGATATTTTTCCTGTATAGGAATAGGGAGGAATTCAAACCCTCCAGGCAGGTATGTTTCTACCCTCCTTGCTCCAAAAGAAAGAAATCTGCTAAATAGCATAAAGAACACAAAATATTGTCAAAGGACAACACATTCCTTTGAATACATGGATCCACATTTCATAACACCTCTTTAATCGTGATGATTGATCATTCAGCTTTCAACAGGATCCCAAAACTACAGGCAATAGGCCTATGGAATTGCAAGGGACATAGAGGAAGAACCATGTAAAATAAACACAATACAAGCAGAAACGTAAAACAATACCCATCTGAAGTTGAAGCTGGAAAACTCTAAGATCATTACTATCTGCAAGAGTTTAGCTATAAGAACACAATCATGCCTCCATCTCCAAACAGACTCCAACTTTGTGACCTCCCTGGTTCAGGTTCACCATATCAAGCAGGGTGGAGCCTGTGACTGTAACACCTGGAGTGCATGATATAACATAGGATGAGATTCTGATCATGGGCATGAAATGACATTAGCATGAAAGAGAATAAAGTGAAACAGGTAAAACTGGAGCCATTCTATGTAAGCAGACTTTAGCACTCAGAACCTGATAGTTCAAAGAAAATGAAAAAAAAAAACCTGCATCCTGTGCCAGCTGGTATAGTTTTTTTTTTCTCTGTCACAATCATGGCATAACAGCAATGATTTATCCATATTGGGTATCAGGCGACACCAGTGATACTGGCTGACATTTTTAATTTTGCAACTTAATTTTTATTTAAGTCATGTGCAAGGCACATTACATTAGTATCAAATGACAACATAAACAATGAGAAAATATTCAAGAAAGACTTAGCAATATAGGATCAAATACTGTAAAACCCTTCTTTTTACACTTTTTAATTTCACAATTGAACAAGAAAGAAATGTAAATAAGGGTCCTGCAAAATAAAGGCTCAGCATGAAGCAAGTGTCATGCATATTCTTGCATGCATGTTTTTACACTGGTTCCTCTTAATACTCTCTAGCATAATGATTTTGTGGATATTTTACATCTGTAACCAGACATTTGAATGACAGTTGCATCACCCATTTCATATAGGTGGGATGATTTTACATAATGATGTATAAACACATATGCCTGCAAAAGTAAGAGAATTCATGGAGCTCAACTTCATGGAACATTTTTGAATGGACAGGAGGTTAAAAAAAAAAAAAGGAGAAAAGTAAAGAATACAAGAGATTACATTATTCAGGACAGATTTAAAAAAAAGAAACATACTCTCTTCTCCTGAAATTGGCTCCAGTTAGGCCTGATTCACCCAATATAGTCAACATACCAGGTCGGAGTTTCTGTTGATAGCTGAGACCCAGTTGGCAATTGTTATTGACCTTTGCCCTGAGTGTGGTGATATCATCCAGAGCATACTTGCACCCAATTGCAAGACGAGTAGAGTTTGGACCCATGGTGAAACCAAACTGGACACCAGCTTCCAATTTAGGACTCACCTTCGTGTATATAGAGCCTCCAATGTCTTGTCCATTGTCTCTGCACAGTTTTAGAGTTATTCAATCACCTGCAAACAACAAGGCTGGTGGAGAAGGTTGAAATAGAGGACTCACACATTCATGTGAAGGTAATAATCCTTTGTCTCATATCCCCCAAGGACATTGCTTTTGGTGAGTTTAGCTTTAGCAGCATCATATGATGCTTGGTAGCCAGCCAAAAGGCCCGAGTACCCAAGTACAAGGCCACCATGCAGAGCTGGTCCATTCAAGACATCTGCATCAAGTGTGAGTGTTGCGTTTGGTTGTTTGTATTGCATCTTTCCTACCACTGACCACTTCCTACAAAGATATACAGACAATCATCAGCATCAAAGACAGTATGAATTGTTCTTAAAAGAAAGGAAAGTCTATGATGGCTTAAAGTACTTGCTAACCCTGAGAATGGTGAGAACAGAGTAGTTCCAGTCAACTTCAATCCCTTGATCACCTGATCCTCTATGGCGGCTTCCGTGTGAATCTGGTTGTCGGTGTTCCACTTGTCTGTCACACTCAAACCTATAAGAGAGCAGTCAATAGAAATTATTGGTCAATTATTGGACAATTTATGTCTCTGGTTCTGGCATTCATGGTGAGCACTCAGTCTAAGAAGAATCCTCATCTTCTTTTCACTCTCCCCCTCATAGAATCTTGTTCACTCTATGTTGAGTTTGCAACCCAATTCCCTTCAGACACTTGGATGAGAATAATAAAAATGTAGTTGATGTATACAAGTTGCCCAGGTCAAGCAAGTATTTTTGTCATGCCCATGAGCAAGATTCTCTGGAAACAAGCTTCCTACAGTAACCAGAAGCCTTGCTCCTAAGGCCAGAGAATGATGGGAACTTCCAAATATCAGTCTTACTTGTCATGCTGAAAGTCAGATGTCTGACAGCAATATGATTTACTAGAAATAAATTATTGCTGACCTGTGGTTCTTTAACCCTTAGTTATCTACCTTGCTGAGCATACTCTCATCAACTGGTACATACAAGAAATGATCCTTAAATAGCGCTCAAGTTCTTGTTTTCCTGCAGCCACAAGACAGGACAAGGGATTCTTGTCCTATGACTGGGGATAACTTGCTGGAGAATTGGTATTGTGGAGTCATATGAGACCTCACAGTCAATGACTGTGAGATGGCACTTTCAATCAATGTCCACCCCAGGATCTTCATATGACATTAGGACCTCTCTTGTGAGGTCCTAATATAACTAATATAACTTCTCATTCTAAAGAAAAACTTCATTTCACAGAAATATTTATTTCTGGGGTTAATTTGAACCCATGATACCTGTTGAGAGATAAATAGAGGAATAAGAATGCCATCTTACCATATTCTGGGACTTTGAACTTGACCTCACAGTTACCAGCAACCTTGTTTGTGTCACTGTTGTTGGTCATGTCTGCTGTGAATTCCACTCCAGAAGGAGTCTTTGTTTTGCATTCTAATTTCAGCATCCCAAAGTGGTAACCCTTGCTGAAGAGGTCCCTTGCGGGTTTTCCAACATCTGCATACACTGGTGGTGCCATTTTATTTGTGTTTCACCCTCTTCTGCTCAGAATTTCTGAAAGATCAAAACATACCAATGGGGGTTAGTTATAATATGCTAATATGCAACCCATTAGGGCATTGTGGTATACCAGTATTTTCATCATACCACAGTATTCTGTTCTCATGATAATCATACCTATATTTTTTGGTATTACTGCCACAATATGGAAACAGTGGAATATTGCCCTTGTTCAAACCATAACCATGGTATGGATAATCCTTCTCATCATATTGCTGCCATGGTGCCATATCTCAAGAGCCATTTCCAAATATACTTTGTCAGCTATATTTCCTAACTTCATCCATGGTGACACCCACTGCCCAGAAGCCTTCCTGTAAGTCACCAAAGTGTATATGATCTAGATCCGTCATTCATGGGTACACTTGCACCTTGACTATGCCCTCTGCTTACTGAGCTGGAGCACTCAATACCAATATGAAACGTGTGGCCATGCACAATAAGATGCCTTCACTTCCATGATGATTCTTTTTTCTGAGATACATAATTTTGAGTCCTCTCAGCAACTTTAATCATGATTTTATTCCTGAGCATGTCTACCCAATCTACCCATTTGGATTGAAACAAACGAATCCCCTTCCTTCCAATTGAATGGTATAATACCACACACAACTAGCTCTATGCCATCACAACAAAAAGACTTGCTCTTTTTGTGGGCTTTTTCTGGGAGTTCATAACTGAAGCAATTCCCCCACTCCTCACGGATACCACCGGAATACCATGGTATTGAGCCATGGTTTACCTACTGAGAAATTCATTGTATACTGCAACATCCTATAACCCATCTTACACTGTATAAGTATGGGCAAAGAACTTTTTGCTTATCCCTCAAATATTCTGGTTATCTAAAAAAATTTTTTATATGTATTTATAAGGAAAACAAAATAAAGGGAAGCAATTTCTGGTAGTAAGAATGAAAGATGAGATGAGCTTCCTGCATAGCTGATTTATTGACATCCTATGAACCTCCTCTCCAAAAATATCTTCACTTCTAACAAAAACAAGTCAGAATCAAATGAATTTTTTATATTTAACTTTCCATGGGGAGAGGGGAGACTGCAAGGCAGGAGAGATCTAAAGAAACACCTTCAAAGCAAGTAGATGTCCTATCAGCAATGCTTACTCATGCATTCTCTATACTCACAGCATTTTATTCACCCTTAACTATTGCTTGACTATTTCCATTTGATTCCTATTCATGCCTTCTTTCCTATGACAGTATATCAGGAGTTGTTTCTACTTGAGAAATACAGGGTGCAGCAGAAAAACCTCCCAGATTTTAAAGGTTAACAAAAAAAAACATGGTAAATGCTATTCAACATTTTATTACATAATATAAAAGTGCATGAAATACAGTTTATTTTCAATTGGTTTTGAATATGATATCGTCCAGATGGTGGCCTTCATTTGGCCTTCATAATCCTTTTAGATTATGTAATAAAATTTTGAATAGCATTTACCATGCCTTTTTTATTAACTTTTAAAATCTGGGAGGTTTTTTTGCCGCACCCTGTACTTGGGTAAATTAGGAACACCAAGTCCTGGACTTGAAATGTGACATGCCAAGGCAAGTTATCAAGCTCAAGGAAAACTTTTTTTGCATTTTGAAACACCAGCCAAACAGAACTTTTCATTTGATAAAATTTTATATCTACTTGTGACATTTGTGGTTATTTGATGCTTGATAATTGTCTTATTAGATATCAAAACTCAACAAGGCCTTCTTTGGGAAAGGTTGTCTGAATTCTAAACAATAACAGGCTGCATCTATTATTTAAAAAAGTACAATGATTAACTCAAATCCTGAGTCTCGCTGTGAAGCCATCACCACCAATTTTCGAAGCAATAAATGTGGGCCTAAGTGGATGATCTTGACCAAATGGACACGTACTAAACCGATGGTACCGAGGCGTACTCAGGGAGGGGGCAGGAGGCATTTTTTTTTAGGCTTGGCTCCTGACAACATCCCCCTGCCTCCAGGCTCGTCAGCCTTATCACAACCACCTCCCCTCCTGTCCCATGTATGCCTCAAGAGATGGTTGTGCCTAAATTGACACAGTTGACTGTACTCCTTCAGTGAATGTGTACTATACTATTACCCTCTCCCTATCCATCTATTGCTCTCACTTCATGCCATTTCAGTCATATTAGGTTTCTTTTACATTGTTGGTGTTGGAATGAGCCCACTCAAGAGCAAACTGAAGACTCAGAGTACCAGATGAAGGACATTCTGATACATGAATTTTGCATATGGAAGATCAATGTTTCCCTTGAGATGAATAAAAACCAATTATAAAAGGTCATCACCCTTTGATAACTTGAAGCAATTTGCCCTGTCCCTAAAAGTTTGAGCTAATGAGTTTTCGCAGTACATCTTTTCAAGATTTGATCTTGTTTTGATCCTTTGCTGAAACATAGCAACTGTTTAGGTCTGATAACCTCCCATATAGAAAGATCATACATGGTAGTTATATGAAATTATCTGTGCTTTATAAATTCATAGATTTTTCATGTAGTGAAATATGAACACACATATATGAGGGCATATAGGATGACTTGAGGATGACTTGTGAGCAGTTTGTGGCTGAAACCTCACATGAGATACACAAGATTTGACCCTTCATCAGACCAGAGAGAAAAGACCATCCTCTTCCCAATGATATCTCAACATGTGATTCATGGGATACAGAATGGAAACATGTTGGGTTTGTGGGAAAGTTCTGTCATTTTTGCTTTTGTACAATTGTACTTATCTCCAAAATATGAATACAGCTAGTGATGAATCATCTATTGTTTTTTGTCTTTATCTTTGTGGATTAGAGTATAAATGGAAGTCATCACTAGCCACATTCATGTTTGGAAGATGAGTCTAATTGTACATAAACAAAAACGACAGAACTTTCCCACAAACCCAATAGATGAGCAGCTTATACTGCTCTGGTAAGCAAGAATCTTTTATCTTATGTCTCCCACAGATATTTTCTCAATTTTACTTGCAGTTGATCAAAATCCACTTTCCTTCACAGGATAGCCATTTCAGTGGGTTGAGCTTTTAAAGGATATAGGCCCAAGTAATAAAATGAGAGGTAATGGGCCTATTTACTAATCCTATCAAACCCAAAGTTTACATTTGGAACTATTGCTTTCAAGAACTTTCCTTGTTGCTTTCAATGGCTAAATCAGCATTAATGCAGCAAAGCAGGCCATCTGATTTATTTACAATATGTTGAGTAATTTTCGTAAATACTTTTTCCTACTTTTTTCCCTCAGGTTCATAAACATTAATTATGGAAAATTAGGAAAATTTATCAAGAAACATGAGGTATAAAGTAAGGACTTTATCACTAGCAGAACTAATGAAATTGTAAGAATTTATCATCTTATAATTATAAAATCTGAATTTGATTTTACTTCAATACCTCAAATGTTTTAAATATACATCTAAGAACAAGTGCATTTCCTTAGCCTTAAATATCCATACCACAACTGGAATATTTTTCACATTAAGCCTAAAACATCATTCAGGCATGAAACAGACCAGCAAGGTGGACTAATGAACAAGGTAATAAGGAAAAATATCCCATAACATATAATGCGCAAGAAAAGACAAGCAACCTGGTATAAATCAGACCCATGTTAGCTTGTGCAGGGAACTCTTGCTATAAAGGATTAAGTTAGACAAACCATGGGAGCGCTGACATGGAGCGCAAACAAGCCAAAACAGAATTGCCTTATACTTCATGACTAAGCCTAGTCAGCACCAGACTATTAGCAATAAATAGTCATAACATTCTGCGCAAACCTAACGTAGTTGTATTACATTATTTTCGGATTGAATTCGAACCCCTCCCATAGGAGCGCTTCCATCGATTGCAGGAAGTACGATCTTCCACATTCCGCTTTTGTGCACTGCCTGTGGAAGCGGATCCTCTGGAAGATGTATTTTACCCATTCTCCACATTGGGGCGGTTCGAATTCAATCTAAAAGCATTTAGTCTATGTGACCAGACCAGCCGATCACGACCATCTGTAGGATAGTGGGCAGCCATACTTTTTTTTAGCGAGGAGGGTAGCGCTCAATCACGTGCCCCCTCGTCACTTCCTTACATCATTAGCCTTCGCAGGATGTTGGGATGTTGGGAGGAGAGGGAGCTCAGGATGAAGGAAGTTGACAAACATGCTGGATTGAACTTCTAGTGATGTTTCACAAGACAAATAAGACTGCAGAACATTTTCCCACGACCTTAACTTGGGACGTAATAATGGGGGTAAATGTTTCATGACGTCCCAGTTCGAACCTTGAACTGAAGTAGACGAGATAATTTTTTATCATCAATTTGACAGGCTCTTACATAAATACGTCAAATTTCATGCATTTGGGATTATTGCGATGAACATAATGTACTACTAATGCCCAGCGGCGTAGCGTCGAGGAGAGGGGGGGGGGGGGACAAGGGGGCACGTGCCCCCCCCCCCCCCCCCATGCCCCCCCCCCCCCACACACACACACACATTTTCCATCCGCGCTCCGCTTATGCTGATGCCTACCATAGACTGGGTATCTGGGAAATAAAGGTGCAAAAAAAAGTCACATACCCAAGTAGCACATAGGTGGTGGCCCACCACCTTCCGGGCTGCTAAAAGGCCAGCACATTACCAATTAGCTCGTTTGTGGTGTACCACCAGCTGGGAAGAGTGAGTTGTATGCATACGAACGAATCTCGTATCATCTATAACACGTAGCGTCGAATATGTGTCGAAAATGTGTAGCATCGAATCACGTAGCGTCGAAAACGCGGAACGTCGAATCACGCAGCGTCGAAAACACGAACCATAAAATCTTGAAAATCGTGGAATCTAGGTTTTCCAAGATAACACAATTTGACAAAAGATAGCAAATTATCATAAACTCTTCCGAAAATAGAAGAATCAACGAATGTGGGACTTCCACTTCCAGCCAAAGAGACGCTCTTCTTTCGTTGCTCATCCGCTAGGTCTGGAGCACGCGGAA